GTGGTGAGGGTCACTGGGTGAGATTTTGCCCAGTTAAGAGGGAAGGCTCAGTAGGACCAGGGAGGATCCCGCTGAGCCAAGCTAGACTGTCTGCCTCCCCAGAACTCCTGCTCCCTGTGACTATTTCTGTCGGTGCTTTCAGTCATAGTCTTTCAGCGTTTGTGGACTCTGGAGAAGACCACAAGTTTATGGATGGGGACCTGGCCAGACAACTCGGCATTAAGCTCCTTCCCTCAAAGGACACCCACAAGGTACTAGCCTTAGATGGCCATGAGCTCAACCGGTCATCTCTTATGACAGAGCTGGTCCAGCTAGTTGTGGGTGGTAAACATGCTGAGAGCATTTCCTTCATAATCATTGCCTCTCCTCAGGTTCCAGTCGTTTTGGGCTTGACCTGGCTAACCAAGCACAATTTACACATCGACTAGCAGAAGTTGGAAGTTTTAGGTTGGGCTACTTCCTGTCTTGTTCCTGTCTACACTGTCAGAATCCTCCGTTAAGAGTGAGGATGATGATTATTACCCTGAATCTAAGGTTCCTGTGGAGTATCACAATTTCCTGGAGGTTTTCAATAAAAGCAGAGCAACCTCTCTGCCTCCACACAGGCCTTATGATTGCAGGATTGATTTTCTGCCAGGAACCACACCCCCTAGGGCAGGGGTCGGCAACCCAAACTGCTCAAAGAGCCATATTGGACCAAAAAAAAAACAAAAAATGAATCTGTCTGAAGCCGGAAAAATGTAAAAGTCTTATATAAGCCTCGTTTGGCAACACAAGTGTATTACTATACCACTATGGAAAAGGACTATGTGGGCTTAAATATATAATAAACATTCATGGTGAAATGTTTATCCTGAAGCAAATTTCACAATGCAGCATGAGGTGAGGGAGTAGCAGAGAATGCTCTCACCGCGTGGAATTCACCGCGCGCCGCTTCACTGCCCTTCACTGCGCAGTTTAGGTTTTGCTGCATTGATGAAATTATAGAAACACGATAAAGGAATCTTTCTATGGTGGACGTGTTTCTGTTGGGAGGAGCTGAGTGAGTCATTAGGAACCAAGCAGGAACTGACATCCATCAGAGCAGTGCTCTCTAATTCTGAAATCCCACATCCTCCGTCACCAGCGTTTCTTGGTGTGATTCATATTTTTAGGATTTGGGGAAAAAAATGGAAGAACGTTCACATCCCTGTATCAGAGCGTTACCTGTTTGATCTGTGGACGGCTTTCCATCCTTGTAACCAAACTAGCAGCAGTAGTGGAGTTTGGAGATGCAATCCATTTCTTTGTGCTCCTCTAATTTATCCAGAAGTTCTGCAATCACACTTTTTCTCTCACTCCCAGCTTGGTGATCGGCTGCATATTTAGATTTCCCAGGAAATGCCTTTCTAAATTTTTATTTTTATTTTTTGGCAACCTCTCATTACAAAGCAAAAATGCGGGCAATCCTTCCACATTAATAATGAAAGCAAATGATTGGCTCCATTCTTTGAATCCTCTTTTCTCATTAGCTATCTTCAAATTTTACAATTTGTAATTCATGGTCCGAGACACACCCACCGCTTTGTTTGCCTGGCACCACGCCACGCTGGTTTGTTGCAAGTTGTGACCACTGATCTATATGGCTATGATGCAAATTATTGTTTCAATTTATTTATTATACAAATGTTTACAGTATTGAAAAACAATTCATTTTTGTTTGACCTCCTGCACATCATATTAAAAAATATATATATATAGATTTTCATAAATCTTTAAAAAAGCTTGAGGGAGCCGAAAGGGGACGCTAAAGAGCCAGATGCGGCTCCGGAGCCGCAGGTTTTCGACCCACGGCCTAGGGTTAGGTTAGTTTTTTTTTATCTGTTCCTGAAACTCTCGCCATGGAAAAATATATCTCTGAATTACTTAGAGCTGGCATTATCTGTCCCTCCTCTTCCCCTGCTGGTGCTGGTTTCTTTTTCTGGGGAAGAAGGATGGTTCCTTCAGGCCATGTATAGATTACAGGGGTCTAAACAACATCATGATCAAGAATCGCTACCCCATACGTCTGATAAACTCAGCTTTTGACCAAATTCAGGGGGCAAACATTTTTTTTCAAGCTGGATCTCCGCAATGCTTACCACCTGGTCCGCGTTTGTGAGGATGACGAATGGAAGATTGCTTTCAATACTGGCCATGACAATTTGGTGATTTCTTTTGGGCCCACTAATGCGTGTGCAGTTTTTCAGAATCTGGTTAATGAGGTGCTCAGAGAACTGACACAGACAGAGAACTGCTTGCAGTGAAGCTGGCTTTAGTTAGACACTTGGACACTTTAGACACTTGGACACCACCTTGAGAAATCATTAGGTTTCCATTAATTCCAATGTAAAAGATGAAAAAAAAACCAATGTTTTTCTATTTTTTTTTTTTTTTTTTTTTTT